AACATCACCCCTAACAAAGAGGCAGACCCGGCTTCTTCCCACCTGAAGGTTGTGGACATCAACCCTAACACAGAGGCAGAGCCAGCTTCTTCCCACCTGGAGGTTGTGGACATCATCACTAACACAGAGGCAGACCCAGCATCTGCCCACCTGGAGGTTGTGGACATCACCCCTAACACAGAGGCAGACCCGGCTTCTTCCCACCTGGAGCTTGTGGACATCACCCCAAACACAGAGGCAGATCCTGCTTCTTCCCACCTGGAGTTTGTGGACATCACCCCTAACACAGATGCAGACCCGGCTTCTTCCCACCTAGAGGTTGTGGACATCACCCCAAACACAGAGGCAGATCCTGCTTCTTCCCACCTGGAGCTTGTGGACCTCACCCCTAACACAGATGCATACCCTGCTTCTTCACTCTTGGAGGTTGTGGACGTCACACCTGAAGAAAAGCCTCTCATGGTGGCCGTCTACGCCACTCTGCCATCTGACATCCAAGCAGGTGAGTAAGACTTATAGAAAGCACTCTGACAGGTGCCGTTCATCATGATAACATGTAAAGTGTTGGTCCCATGTTTCATGAGCTGAAATAAAAGATCCCATTCAACTGGCCAGTGTTTAGAACCTACGGTTTGCATTTATTAACATTCTGTCCCGCTTTTGTCCCATTCCAGAGGATGTTGCTTTGGTCACCCTGGACGTCACCCCACACGTCACCAAGGACGTGACCCTGGATGTTCCATGCAGGGCGAGGAAAGGGGCAGTCCAGCGTTTTTTTTGCAGGCTTTGGAGGGCAGTGTGCTGCTGCGCTTGCCACAAGGAAGAGGAGGAACAATATTAATTATTCATTAGACCAGAAACAGGATTGAACCATAGACCATTAAATTCTTTGCATTATAGTTGCCTTCAATTCTGATTTTCTTCTGTTTAATTCTTAATTAATTTCAGAACATTTCTCTAAACTTTGTGGAGTAGGTTGTATAAATAAGTGGGAAACATCCCAATCCCAATTTTAATGCTTTCAATAATTAACTTATTACATTTTTTTTAGATGTATTATTTGACAAAAAAGTGGAGGGCGCGACAAAAAAACTTTAATCATCATAGAAAACTCTTGCTCACTATTGAAAATGCATTGTTTTATTTAAGCAAGGTTAAAAGATTAACGTTTCGGCCTAGTCTATGACGATATGCAAGTTGTGTTTGCCCAGTTAAAGGGGGACCCAGACTCACCCTGGTTCTTGAGGGTTGCAGACACTGAATAATTATCATTTGAAATAAATGGCATTTTTCAAGTCTTGACTAAAAATCTTTAATGAATATGAATTTAAATACAATTGACTTGAGGATCAGAGCAGGCAGGCTGACTGGCTTGCCCTGAAGGCTAAGAGGTTGTATGGGTTGTCTGTCTAAAATACAATGTAATTTAGTGCATTCAAATACCCAAAAAAAAAAATGCAATAAACAAATTCATCCAAAACATACAAATAAGCACGAATACCTGTATCTAATGAATATGCTACATTCACTTTCACTGTTTACAGTATATATTCACTTACAGTAAACCATCAACAAATTCACATGCGCAGGTCGTGCACCTCATCCACATGCACAGCTCCGGCGGTCGGCTTGAGCTGACCAGTCGGCAGGTCACGTAATTAGGACACTGCCACAACTGGAATTCTGATGGTTGGATAATTTTTATTCGACCTGCACACGAAGAGACAACACACAATATGTTAGCTCTTGGTGCAGCCACAGCTCTCAGGCACCTTGCTAGTTGAAGGTCAGGCAAAAGAGAACAGGTGCTGCATGCACACATTCAGTGCCTAACAACACACTATACAATACAAGTAAAATGATATACAACATAATTCTGACAAAATAAATGACATACCTGTACACGAAGAGACAACACACAATAGCTTAGCCCTTGGTGCAGCCACAGCTCTCGGGCACCTGCGTGAGCACATAGAAACTCACTGTCTAATCAGAGACTTCAACACATTAGTTCCCACAATGAGTTCATCAACCTGCCCATCAACAATAAGCACTGGGACTACATAACAGAAGCCATAAAGTTGAATTTTTAAGTCACACATGCCCACTGGGCTAGTTTGTTCCCACCACAACCCACCGGATTGTTGAAGGCA